GGGGGGGGGGGGGGGGGGGCGCGCCCTGGGACCAGGGAAGGATGCTCTCCCCTCCCCGCTGTCTCCCTCCTGCTGTGCGTGGCTGGGACACTGCAGCAGACTCGCCCGGGCTCACACAACCGCGGGGGGAGGGGGGGCAGCCAGCCTCACCCACTCAGAAGTTTGGGGGGTGACCTTGCGGCTCAGAAGTCCCCTTCCCGGGCCCTGCAGCAGCTCGGGGCCAGGAGCGCGCCGTTCCCCAGGCCTGGCGTGCCACCAGGAGCCGGGCCACTCCGGAGACTCCCCACATAGGAGTCTGCAAGGGCTGCGCAGGCCCTGGCAGGGGTGGGGGATCCAGTGAGGGCATTGGCCCTTCTGAAGCTTCCCGTCAGACTGCTGGGCTCTAAATCCCGCCTCAGAAACTTCCAGGCCACGTCCAGTCTCACTGCCGCAGCTGGCCCGCTAAGCACAGTGAACCACCGCAAGGTGCCGTGACCCCCCGCAGGAGGGCAGCCCTTCCTCCCGCCCACTTCCCATCCCCAGCCCCAGGAGAAGGCACAGCCCAGACCCTGATGTGCCGGTCACGGGGCTCCCTGGCCATGGGGGGTGGCTGCAGGGCCCACATCTCCTGTCTTCTCTCTCCAGCCTGAACTAAAGTCTGTCTATAAGGGGCCCCCTGAGGGAGGGGCTCCAAAGCATCACCCCGAGGGGACAGTGAGGATCAGCATTTGGGCCTCCAGAGCTGCACCAGGCCACTTTCTCGGCATGTAGAGAATGCTTGTCCTCCTGGGTCCCCAGGGCCCAGTCGACAGGGAGAACTCACTGTTGCCAGAGGCCCTAGTTGCTATGGGGATGACCACAGTAGCAGGAAGTCAGCCCCTGTTACCCTGGTCTGGGCCTGAGCATGCAAGTGGCAGGCAAACAGGCCGACCGAGGAGATCCAGCCCCCAGGACAGCTGCAGTCCCACCGGCCAGCTCCGACAAGGACAGGCAGCTGACCCAGCCGGCTGGCCACCCCCTTACTGGTCCCAAGCCCCTCAGGGGCCAGTGGGTCCCCTGCTGCCTCCCTGCTCTGGGTCTCTCTGTGCCTCTGGGCTGAAGTGAAAAAAGCCTTGTGCTCTGGGTCATGGCAGCAGTGAGACCTTCCCCTCAGAACCCACACCCTGCAGGCAGCTGGGCCTCTGCTCTGGTCCCACACAGCAGCCCTGAAGGCAGAGCCACTGTGCCCTCCCTCCTTGACCGCAGCTGTCTCCCGCTATCCAAACCTGAGCTTCTCCCTGCCCCAGGCCAGGCCTTGGCAAGCAGACCTGCCCAGGCCACTGCCTGCCTTTCTGTCGTGCCTTCCCCTTTCCTTTCTCCAAAATCCCAGAGTACCTTTGCTGGGATAAGCAGGCCTGCAATTTGCCTGGCCCCCGGCTCCGCAGGGATCCCGCCAAACAACAACAACAACAACAAAACAAAAAACCTACAAATGACATCAGAAACCAAAAGGGAAATGGGTTGGGAGGGTTGGAAGGAGTAAGGGGCACAGTACAACTGGTAACTCCAGACACCACAGCTCTTCCCCAGCCCAGGGTGGGCACAGGAAGGACTTGCCAGAAACGGGGCGGGGGGGGGGGGGGAGTCCCCGTGTCCCAGCCCTGCCGGTGGCTGAGCCAAGTCCAGGCAGAGACTGGTGCTGGCCTACGGACGGGTGACAGCAGCACCTTCCCATCCCGCCCCACGCTCTCAGCGCCGGATGTGAAGTTCACCTCTCTGCAGATGAAGCAAGGCCCAGCGCTCACCCCCACAAGGACACAAGCACGAAGACACCCTCCCCTGAGCCCCCGCTGAGGACAGGAGGGAGATATGGAAGGGTCGGGGCGGGTTCCGAGAGCCACGAAGGCTCAGTGCAGTGGGGAGAGGGCCTCTGTTCCGATAGGGGCTCCCGACTGGAGAAAGTGAGCTCCTCTCAAGGACACCAATGCCCTCGGGGGCCTGGCTCACGGAGCCGAGCCCCGGGCCCCCACCCCCCACTGCCTGTGTCATTCACTTTGGAGTCTGTACCAAGATAGCCTCTCCCCCAGTGAACCTCACACCCTCACACAGAGCCTCCAGCACTGGATACACACTTGAAGAGGAAGGGAGAGAAGCTGGAGAGAGCAACCAAGGGAAGGAGAAAGAAGAAGAGGAAAAGGCAAGTAGAAGGAGACAGACCTCCCGGACCCCCATCCGGCTCTGAAGGCTCTGGGGCCCTCCAATCCGCCCAGGGGCACCCTGTGGGGTGGGGACAGTGGCCTTGGGCACTCTAGCTCAGACTGCAGAAAGCAGCGAGCGGGGCGGACCGGGTGCAGCGGTGCAGAGCCAGACCGCACCCCGAGGACCCGGCCCCAGCACTTCCTGCCCCGGGACCTTGGGCACATCACCAAACCGCATCCGTAGGTGGGAGCTAACAACAGGACCCACTTCATTCGGCCACTGGGGGGACTGACATAAGAAGAATTAGCTTTTACTGCCTTGGGTAAGAACGGACGCTTTGGCCCTAACAACACGCTCCCAACAGGTGGCGAGCCCCGGGGAGCCTCAGGAGCTGCTGCTGGCATCTACACGCCACCTCACCGATGAGACGAGTGACAGGCTGAGGCCACCCGGCGGGGACAGGCCCCACGCCCCCCAAGTCACCACTGCTCTTTCGTTCGGTGTTTGTTCGGCACGTCTGACGTGGTGCCGGGAGCCGGAGAGGGGGGCCCGGCGCCCACGGTCCGGTGAGAGAGGTGCACCGGGCCCGGAGGAGACCCAGGAAAGCCTGGAGGGCAGAGAAGGGAGGCACGTGGCGCTGTGCGGGCCTGAGGGGAGTGGACCTTGTGGAGCAGGCCCCTGAGCAAAGCTCCCCGAGAGAGCGGCAGCCGAGCTGGGAACCGACAAACAGGAGGGATGGGAGGTGAGGAGCAGGTGAGGAGAAGCCTCGAGGCAGACGGTGCCACCTGCACAAAGTCTGAGGAGCCCTCATGCAGCTCGGACGGTCTGCACCACGTCCACGTAAAACTCAGGTTAACTGCCAGGTCTGCGTTCCCTGAAGGCAGGGAGGACCACGCGGGGCTTTGCCTGCAGGCACCCCAGGGGTTAGCACGGTCCAGACCTGGGCACACGGCAGGCCCTGGAGGGAGACCACATGCCAGCAAAAACCTCCCTCTGAGAAGCACCAGCCAAGGCGCAGACGCTGGGCAGAGATCCTCCAGCCCTGCCTGACCCAACACCTCACTAGGCACAGGGCAGGTGGAGGCCTCGGAGCGGGGGACCACTCACTCACGCACCCCCTGCATCCACGGTCTCCTTCATGATGATCTCCACCCGCTCCACATGGTGCCGGTTCCAGAGGCCGTCCAAGGCCTTGCGGTTCTGGTCTCGGAAAGGCAGGATCTGAGCCACGGCCTGCCAGGGAAGGAGACCGGTTATGCTGCCGGTTCTCAGGGTGAAGAAGGAATCCTGACCCTAAGGATGGGCCCCAACTTCTCTACCCCCTGCTCGGAGAAGATGCTTTCAGGAGCCATCGTCCCTGGGCCTTAGGACTTCACAGCTCCATACAGACTCCAAATCTGTTAAGTGACCTCCACAAGGGTTTCCAGCTTTTTATTTTGCAAGGAAAAAAAAAATATTTAAGATTACTTACCTTCTATTACCGTCAACTTTTCATAAAAGGTATTTTAACACCAAAAATGGAGCAAGAACAACTTCAGACTGGATACATTCAAGAAGTGTTCTCTTCTCATTTTCCCAGAAACAAGCGAACACCTCACCAGGTCAGACGCAGGTCTGAGGTGCACTCTGGGAAACTTGCAGCTCCAAACAGGGCTGGCCAGAAGGCGATGCCTCTGTCCTGGAAGACTACGAGGTGCCCACCCACAGGGCCCTGGGCTCACCAGCCTGGTCCGTACCAGAGAAGACCGCGCGGCGTGCCCTCTGCTGCGCTTTCTAGGAAGAGATGTTCCAGAGGCACTCGGAGGGCATGCTCAGAGTGAAGTGGCCAGCCGGCCCGCATCACCCAGGAGCTCAGCCCCAGGCTCCGCCACAGAACCTGGCTGGGAAGCATGGACTTAGGGTCCCTGCTCACTGTAGGATCTTGTTACCAGCCTTCTGGCTCAAAACAAAACTCAGGAAGACGGAGATACTGAAAAAGGGCAGATGGGTGTGGAGTAAGTTAGTTCCCACACCATGACCCACTGGAAGCCAGGCCAACACCTGCGCAGAGGACGCAGGGCAATGAGAAACAAAGCTCTGGCCACGTGCACGAGGGCCACGCATCCTGCCCTTACTGCTCGGCTTTTCCTTCAGCCTCTCACCACTTGCCCACCTTCAGGGGCTTTGCCTGCAGGCACCCCAGGGGTTAGCACCGTCAGGACAACCACGGGAGCTCCGCTTTCACAATGGCTCCAGGCCTCATCCCACAAGCACCAGTGTGGCTCTGTCCATGGGGTCTACCCACTCCCAGCTCACTCCAACCCTGGCAAGCTCCCCGCTGAAGCTCACCTGCTTGCCCAGGTAATGGTCCACCCGGTACATCTCCTCCTCTTGGAAAAAGCTCCCAAGTTCTGTGGCCAGCTGCTGGGCTGAGAGGTGGTCGTGGCCAAAGGGCTTCTCCAGGACAACCCGCAGCCAGGCACCCGGGCCCGGGCGGCAGCTGCTGTTGATGCTGCGAGCAATATCCGCATAGGCAAAGGGTGGCACGGAGAAGTAGAAAACCCTGCCGGCCTCCCGGAGGCCTTTGTGTTCGAGCTGTGCCTCAATGTCCTTGCTCAGGGCCATATAGTCTTCATTCGTCCTCAGGCGGCGGTACCGGCTCAGTTGCTGGAACTGGCCCCTGAGTTCGGCACAGCGCCCGGGCACCATGTCCTCGGGGCAGGTGAGGGACTCCAGGACCTTGGTGATGAACTCCTGGCCCTGCTTGGTGGATGTGAGAGCAGCCCCATGGAAGCTGAAACTGTAGCCCTTCCCCACCTCATCCAGGTACAGCTGGAACAGTCCCTGCCATAAGTATTTTTTGGCCAGGTCCCCAGTCGCTCCCAGCAGGATAACGGAGACATGTCCCCGGAGCTCCTGGGCCTGCAGGCAAGCCACAAGGGCCATGCACATCGCCACTGTGAGCATCTTCCAACAGCCAGGGCACCTGGGCAGAGGTAAGACAAGGAACAAGGAAGGATCAGACATGGTTCAGGTGACGGGGATGTGGAGGTAAACACATCTCTGGCCTATCAAACATTTCCTGCCTGGCAAAAAACCACCACGTGTTTTCTCTCAGAAAAATGTTATAATCCCACAGCTTGCCCCTCCCTCCGCAGCAGCTTGGCTTCTGTGCCAGGAAGCTGGTGGGTAGGGAGCCTACCCTGTAAGCAGGGACTATGGCCGGGAAGGTGGTAGGCCACTTGCTAGAGACGGGCCACTGTGCTGCAGGAAGCACCAGGGAGGCCCTTAGGGTGGCCACGGGATTGCAGCTGTCCACTCTCTGACCACGGCCAGTCTCGTCCGTGAGCGTAGGGTGCCAAGACCATTGGGGCAGCTCGGGAATAGGTAGCAGGCCCTCTGGTGATGGCTGGAACTACGAGAAGATATGCTCACCTCCACTCACTCCTCCCTTCGCTTTTCCCATGTCCGCTGGGCTCCAAGCACAAAACAATTACTAGTAACTGCTACAGTGTAGTGATTAAAAACACAGCCGCTGGGGGCGCCTGGGTGGCTCAGTCAGTTAAGCGTCCGTCCGACTCTTGGTCTCAGCTCAGGTCTTGGTCTCAGGGACATGAGCTCAGGACCCACAGTGGGCTCCACGCTGGGTGTGAGGCCTACTTTAAGTTAACTAACTAATTAAAATAAAATGATAAAATAAAAACATAGTCTCTGGAACCGACTGAGGTTGAATCCCAGCTCAACTCCTTACTGTTGGACCTTAGACAAGTTCTTATTTAACCTCTCCATACCTCAGTTTCCTCATCTGAAGTGGGGGTAACGGCGACCTGCGCCATATGGTTATTTTAAGGACAAATGAGTTAATATTTATAAAACGCTCAGGACACCGCCCACCACCCAGGAAGCACTACGGAAGCGGTAGCTGTCCCTACGGTCTGCCGATGACAACAGCAACACCGAACTAAGTCCTTACACGCAGAAGATCTAGTGCGTCCAGGGAAAAGCCCTGAAAAAACACCAGTGGAGCGGATACTATGATCATTTCCCTTCTGCAGGGAGCAAAGCTGAGGCTTGGGTGGTGAAGGGGCCCGGGAGAGGAAGCGGGGAGCCGGAAAGGCACCGGGCTCTCTGGCCCCCACACTGCCACCCCGCAAACGCAGGCCGCAGCCTCCCTGAGGGGGGGCCTCACATCTTGGCTGATTTCCAGCCTCACTGAAAGCAGCTGACACGTATGAAAGGCCAAAGGCCTCGGACCTGCCACAAATGCACCCGAGGACTTGCTTTCACTTGCCTTCTGTTCTGACCAAGGCTGTGGGGCTTAACGTGCCCCATCCTTACTCCACAGCTCTCCTGTTCCAATTTCCCAGCAAGGCCCGTGCTTTGAGGGAAAGGGAGAAGTGGTGACGGGGAAAGTAATCACGGTCAGCAACCCGGCTCTCAGAAATAGTGGGACAACGGAGCCCAGCCTGGGGCACTGGAGCAGGGAAGGGGGATTCAAGATTACTGAGAGCAGGCGTTCCCAGATGAAGGAGTAACACGGCCCTCAACGATGAGGCTCTAATCTGTTGTTCGGGTAGGGAAACTGAGGTTTAGAGAGATACCTGGCCAGCCTACCTTCCTGCATTCCTATACTGTCCTCCATCTTGAGGGACCGGAGCTGCCCTCTGACTGACAGCAGCACCCCGCACCCCACTTCTCCCTCTGCCTCTTCCTCATCTCTCTCGGTCAGCAGCCAAACCAAGGTGAGGGTCCACCAGCAGTATCTGTCTGCCAGACGTTTCCACTACTGGGGCTTTAACCGGAGGATCCAGGGACCAGCTGCGTGGCCTCCCACGTTTCCCCGTCCACTCCCTTCACCTGCACACTCAACTCCCAAATCAGATGGGCCGCAGGGCCACTCTACTTTCTTCTCCTGCTTCCCAACCCCCATCCTTGGCCCTTCATGCATTTCTTCCTGAACTGTCAATCGCCCGTCTGGAGGGAAGAAAAAGCTGCAAGGTCAGTGCGGGAAAGAGGCAGCGAGAAATCTGAAGCCCAGAGAACAGCCTGGAGAAGGAGGAGCCTCCAGCTGGCAAGCTGCATCTCAGAGCTCCTGATGCGGTATGGGCAGCCAGGGCCCTGCACGTACCGGGCACAAGGCACAAGAGGAGAAGCTCGGGAACCTCAGAGGAGCCCGGACAGGCCGGCGAGGGAGCCCCAAGGGCCAGTACCTCAACCCCCACCCCAGAGGACGGCAGAACTGCCATGTCCCCAAGCCGGAGCCCCCAGTCACTGTGCTCAGCAGCTTCCTCAGTCAAGTGGGGGAACGTGGCATTTGGGGCAGAGGACCAGGCTCAAGACCTCCTCCCAGCTGTGGGATCTACTTAAGTCACCTACTCAATTTGGGCCCACGTTTCCTAACTATGAAACCGGGCCAACACCACCGAACTAAATGGGGGGGGTTGGAAGGATGAGCTGTGGTGACACAGGTGACAACTCCCTATGCAGATGTTAACTACCTTCGCTAAACGGAAGGCCCCTCGTGGCTCCAAAGGGGGGCACAACGCCACTGCTGTCAGGAAAACCTGCGCACTCCCCTGGTCTCGGGGGCTGCAGGAGGCAGCGCTGAGAACAAACTGGCATTCACGTCCCACTCCCCAGCCCGGCCCCAATGCCCTGCCCTGAGAGGGGGCGGACAGCGACGGGTACAGCTGTCCTCCCTGCAGCCCCGACAGGGACACAAACAGGCTCAGAGAAGCTGCCCACCCAAGTGAAGAACGGGGCCCCAGGGGCGCCTGGGTGGCTCAGTCGGTTAAGCGTCTGCCTTCGGCTCGGGTCGTGATCCCGGGGTCCTGGGATCGAGCCCCACATCGGGCTCCCTGCTCGGCGGGAAGCCTGCTTCTCCCTCTCCCACTCCCCCTGCTTGTGTTCCTGCTCTCGCTATGTCTCTCTCTGTCAAATAAATAAAAATCTAAAAAAAAAAAAAAAAAAAAAGAACGGGGCCCTAGCCCACGAGCAGGGGTGAGGCAACAGGGAAAACAGATGGCTCGCACGCATCCCCCGGGGGCTCTCGGCCGCTTGTGCTGCGAGGCTCTAGCGCCGAAGGGCCTTCTGCGGCTCGGCCTCCCACGTCTGCACCGGCTCCCAGAGGATCGGCCCTGGCACTGCCGCGAACAGCTTCTGTTTTTAATGAGTAAGTAAATAAGAACACCGCTGGTGAACAGTTGCAGGAGCTCCGGCCCCGGACGGACGGCGGGCTCGGCCTAGGCCTCGGTTCCTCGTCTGCGACAGAAGAGACTTCGCCAGAGGACCGCCCCTTCGCTGCCCCCAGATAGCGTGCTTCCCACGGGAGGGGGACAAGCCCTCTATTATCAGGGAGATGCCAGCGCTCCACCTCTGCACAGGGCAGTTCGGGGCTTAGCGCCTTAGACCCAGGTGGACGGCAGGGCCAGGGAAAAAGGACTCAACAGGAAATGAGGGGCTGATAACTACGTGTCACTCAGAAGCTCAGACAAAACTCTCTGAAGCCTTAACTTAAGCCTGTGGAGGGTGCAATTTCATTTACAATTATTATTCAAGGTACTTGCCAGAAACACACTAGGCCCAGGAAGCGCAGGTGCCTCTGGGGAGGAGAAAAGACCTTCTTCGGACAGGCTCATCTTAGCGGCAGGCCTGACGGGGCACATAGCCAGAGGCCAGGGCATCTTTCACGGCCCCCAACCCAGCCGGAGGGGTGCCCATCAGGCATCCTGGGGGACTCACCTTTTAAAGTACAGCTCTGCCAACATTCCCAAAGCTGGGAGCGCTGACCTGGCCAGCCAGAGGGTTTGGATCAGAATCAGGGTCCCAGTCTTTGTTTATGGGGAGCAACCCTGCAGCCGGGCCTGATCCGTCCTAGCACGGACGCAGCGTGTGCTGGGGCTCCGGGGGCAGGGTGGTGTCTGGTAAACCACAGGAGGAAACAGCTCTGGTCCTCTCTTCCCAGCACACAAGGGGCAGGAGAAAGGAGTGGGGAGCTAAAGGTCAGTGGCTGCTGCAGCCCTGTTCCCTTTCCCAATGCCACACTGACACCTTTGTCCTCTACCTTGTTTGCCAAGCAGGAAGGAGGGAAGTTTTCTTCAAATCCCAGCCTGGGAGTTTGGAACTGTTGAAAGAACGTGTGGGAGTAAAACAAGAGTTCAAACTGAAGATCACCTCTAACCAAAGCGGGAGGGGATGCGCCCAGTCCCCTCTATAATCACTCACTCAAGCGTTTTTCCTGCACTCTCCTTGTTCGGGCCCATCAGCACCAAACACAGCCATGCCAGTCAAGCCCTTCAGCTGCTATGAGACCTGTACCCCTTCCCCACTTGTTCTCCTTGGGGCTAGACTGGGGACAAGAGTTGCAAGATCAGGCTCTGGGGCCGTTTTCCCTCCCTGATCTCAGAGAATCCTTATACCGGTCACCTCTTTAGGTGTCTTGGGTCCCTGTGACCCCGGCGGTGTGCTGCAGCCACCTTGTACCGGCACACAAGATTCAACTGCTGCATTTTCAGGAATTTTTCAAGCCAGGTATTAAACACAGCCATTATTAAAAACCACATCGCACAAATTTATAACCAAATAAATTGTATTAAAAACAAAAGCAATAAATACTTATTATTGCTCATCATTTCCTAATTATTTGACCACATTTTACTCTCCACCTGTGCTCTTGACATTACTGACATCTATTGTATCTGTAAGGTGAAGATATTCTGTACTGGGGTGTTTGCAATGGCCAGTGCAGGAATATTGCACCACAGATACTGGCAAATGCTGTAAATCAGGCTCCCTCCCCATCACCAACCCCCACCCTACAGAGTCGTTACACATTTACCAGCATACAACACCAGGTCTTCATCTCCATTCTGGGCTTTCTCCCCCAACTCCAGGCTCATCCAATCAACTGCTACTCTGACACCATTAGCTGGATGCCTACAAGACTCACTACGTTCAAAATTGAACGG